TCTGGTGTTTGTAAAAGCTATTAAAGTTTTTGTCTTGGAATTTAAATCTTACTATAATCTGAAATGCCTTGCAGGCTGCACTATTTTGATCCCTTTTGCAAGTCTGAGCTTCCTCTTTGCTTTTGCAAAACAGGCCGTGTTTGCAACTCTTGTATTTTGCAAGATATTGCTAAGGGCAGAAATGGGTCATAAGCAAGATCAGAGTCACCCATTTCTTACTTGCCGTCAGCTGACAGGCAACAGGGGGCAATGTTACAAGAAAAGTGTGGGCACTGGGTGAGCTAGTATGTGTGTGCCAACAGCAAAAAGGACAACATATAAAGATGTTAAACTACTCTCCACTTATGTTTGTAACTTCAACAGCATTTTTCTGAGACTTCAGTGTGGCAGTGACTCCTGGGAGTCAGTCATACAGCAAGAAAAAGCGCTGCGAAGGCACGTAACTGAGTTTCTCAGTGATTTAAGTTAATGCAAGGTGATTGGGTTTAAATTACTCTGCTAAGTGTTCTACCAAATACTTTTTGATTGATACTCATCTTTACTGCAAAACGGAAGAGGTTCTTTCACAAGTTGATGAGGACACAATTCTGCAAGGTTACATTTTGTCTAATTTGGCTGGTATTCCTGATTGTCATTTGGGGAAATTTAATTCTCAGCTTTCTTTGTATAACCTCATTGGGAAATATTTAGCTCTATGAGCTGCATAATAATGCTGCCCCTCTGAAGTAAAAAGAGATTTTATTGGTGGCTTCAGTGAGAACAGAATTACACATACCTTGACACTTCTGGATAACAGTGCTAGGTTGAGGTAGATGCTACAGAAGCATGAAACGAACACATTTTCCACATTTTCTGCTAAATTCTGTTACATTTGGCAGTGCCTCAAACCATACCGTCTTTGAAATTCTCCTAAAATCAACCATTAATCATACAAGAAATTACAAAAAATAAAGTGCGTAAGAAAACTAAAAACAGACCACCAAGGGGATGATTCTTTTTATAGGGCTGGAGAAATTAGCAGGTTATAAATTGATAAAAGCGTTAACTCTGTGCTATATTGTCACGTACTATTTCTATACAGTCTGTAATCTGCTAACACTTCCAGGTACCCAAATTGCAGAAGTTAGGTGCTTGGCATTCCCTAATGGATTCACAGCGCACCTCAGGGCTTCAGCGTCAGCGTGTCCTGGGTAGAGGCTTTGGGATTTTGCTGTTTTGTCTTTTTGTCTCTCTGGACTACTCAGCATATTTCATGGTTTATAGAATGCCTGTATTGATAAATATGGGAGTTTTCCCTGACCCATAAGCTATGAAATGTTTTCATCCCTGACTCTGCGGCATGAACTGGTTCACCTGGGAAATCTGCTCCGATACACATAATCACATCCTTTAAGATGTACTTAAAGCTCTAGCCTTTAGTAATGCTGTAGTACCACTAGCATTCCAGATTTTAACAGTTGAATCATAAAACACAAAGAAGTTAAGGTAGAAAATATCAAACTGATAACCTTCAACCTACAACTACCAAATCAAAGTGCTATAAGGAAACTCATTAGGAAATGAGTTGCAAGTTTTAGAAGCAAAATACTGGAAATCGATTTTTAGTATTTAGGCTGACAACTAAACATGCAGTCTAATCTTTAAGATAAATAATGACTTTTATATGTAACACTTAGGAAATATAACTATTAGCTAAAGAAACTATCTTAGAAAAGCTACATAAATGAAAGAGGAAAAGTCTGAAGAATAAGTCTCTTCATGCCCAAATACTTTGCTTAAGGATCAAAAAGAATTATTGTTATTCTGCCATATGGGTTAAATTCAAGTCTTTGCTAACACATGAAATCAGTACAGTTTTGGGTTCTTAAGTATTTTCTGTTTCCTTCTATGAAAGAGGACAAAAGCAATAAAAAAAAGTTTAAAATGAAACTTTGAAAAAAAGGTATTTTGGAAACATCGTGTGTTTGGAAACACAGTTCGAAAATATGGGCTTTAGATTCCACTGAGAACCATTGCCAGGAAATCTCCTGGTCTGAGTGTCTGCAGGAGCGCCGACGCCTGGTTGCTATTCTTAGCTTTGCCCAATGGAGAATCTAGACCTCTGTAGCAGCAGCAAGAAAAAAGGTACAGGTGCATGGCTTTTGAAACTTCATTCCTTCTTCTCGTACTTAAGATTTGTTTTAAGAGAGTTTGATTTTTTTTTCTTGTTCTTGGATAAGAAATGCTGTGATCTGTGTGGTTGTTGTCTCCCTAAAGGAGAGAAGGGAGACCTTTTCCAAAGGAATTTGCAGAGTCAGCGTTTTTTAGCCTGTCCTGCTGTGATAAGCCACAAAAGAAACTAGACTGATAGACACTTTTAAGTACAGAGTTACATAAATACAAATTCCTGCTCTACTTAGGAGGAGTTTTAGAACTGTGTCAGAGATTCTTCATAAACTGTGCTTCCCTTGAATCTCTAAACACTCTAGTTAATTAGTTTTTATTATTTATTTATTTATTTTTGTTATTGTTCTTGCTTTCCTCACAGATGCCAAGATGAGTGTGCAGTGGGAACCTTTGGAGTACAATGTGCTGAGACCTGCCAGTGTATGAACGGTGGGAAATGCTACCATATTAGTGGTGCGTGTCTCTGTGAACCAGGATATACGGGAGAGCACTGTGAAACGAGGCTTTGCCCTGAGGGAGTTTATGGTCTCAAGTGTGACAAAAAGTGTCCCTGTCACTTGCCCAATACCTGGAGGTAAGTTTTACACCCTTCAGCACAGTTTTTCTACATGGGGCATTGATGCCAGAATAGAATCTTGAAAAGAAACAATTCCTGATGTTTCCAAGTACTTTCGTGCAAACTGAAGCATCTGAACATTTACAAAAAGTATTTGGTATTTTATAACCACAGCAAGAAAGAAAATATCAACCCTAAAGAGCTTTGATTGTTGGTGCTTGCAACTGCATTTGATCCTAGTATTAACTTCCGTACTTGTTTCCTGACTCATAAAAGAAATGTTAAGACAAAGTGTGGCCTTTGTCTATGTTTACCACAAGAATATATCTCTATATTATTCACCATATTAAGTCAATAGACCTTATACCTTCTTCACATATTCTGAGGTACTGTAAAGGAGAAGTAATTGAATTGAAATCAATGGATATATACTCTTATGAACCTGGCATGAGAGGAAGATTAATTTCTCTTTCTCTCTCTCTGTATATTTTTAAATAAGAGTTGAAGTAATAAGTTTAAATAAGAATTGGGAGTAGGTGATTGTTTTAATATGACATTTCGGAAGTCTTACCAATTATAACTCTAATTTAACTCATTTAAGCTAATTTGCTAGAAAGCAAGTAAAATCTGATGTCTGGAAATGGAATGAAAATAGTTTTCTAACTGGCATACCTGGCATACTGTCTCTCCTTGTTCAGGCAATCACAATATATAATTTTTGAGTTTTCTGTGTCGTTATTGATTCCATAGTGTTTTAACATATTGTAATGAAAATCTATTATATATAAAATATTTATCCTGAGATG